GTTGAGGATCTTGTTGGTATGCAAGTTCGGCCTCATGGACAGTTTCTGGTTATGGGAGTTTATCTTACCAGCAGTGTTGGCGTCGAGGGCAATATGCATAAGCTCTCCAACTTGGGCGCCATTCTCAAGACGGCGCAGGCACCCTGGATGGTTGCGGGAGATGGAACTGTACGCCTCAGCAACTCTCGAAATCTGGGTGGTTGGATTTAGTTGGAGGAGAAATTATCACAGCGCACAATACTGAATATACTTGTACGGCGGGAGTGGGCAGGATGATCGATTCCGTGGTCATCGACAGGCGAGCCCAGCACTTGTTTCCAGAGAAATGTACCACAGCCGACTTTGAAGCGATTGGTGGGGCAGGCAGGGCACACTATGGGCTGCAGATCCTGGTCAACCTCAGTGCTTCTAGGGCCCAAGGTTGGGTGCTCCAGCGGCCCAGGGCCTTCGACCATCCTGCTAGAGCCAAGCGCGCGGCGGGCCCTGACAGCAAACGCTCCAAAAAGAAGGCTCAGGAATCAGCGAGGTTAGCTTCGAAACCTCACAATTGTACCGAAGTCCCGCCTGTGTGGGGACCTCGCAAGAGTTTGCCGATTAAGAGCCCCCCGTCCATACAATACCTGCATTTGGATTTCCAGGATGAACCTGATTTTGCCACCGAGGATGAGGAGGAAGCGCCTACCGATGTGCCCAACGATCAGGAACTTCTGGCGGAGGAGGACGCCTCTTCGGAGCACGAAGGGACATCGCTATCTTCCTCTCGGTAGCCTATACAGCACGATTGGGACCCCCAGAGCAAGGATATGCTGTGGCTATCTTTGAGTGACACGCATCAGGTTCGAGGTCGAGCGTCGCCACCTGATTTTATTCAAGAACCTTTGGCTTTTAGATGTGCATCTGGGGAGGCTCAGCAGATTGGTGAGTCCTTCGCGAGGTGGGTTGGCATCCTGGAACGGTACTATTCGGAAATATATCGCATTCCGCCGCAGGAGCGGCGTCAGTATCAAGGGCGTGCTGATCTTCGGCCGCCGAGGCTCCAACAACTACCCGCGGAGAAGCCGTGGGTGACAGCCACGGATCCGGGTGCCAGATGGTGGTCGACGGTCGCTAACCACTGTGTGGAGCTTGCCAGTGTACCAGCACATTTTCAGGATAAGCCACGGGGTTAACATATTCGTGCGCGCCTTTGTGATCTTGCTGGCGCCATCCCTGTGACTCAGCTTGTTCCGCTTCCTGAGCGGCGACGGCAGCGGTGGATCAGAGGGCTTCGCACGCTCGATGGGGGCGACCATGGAGTCATTGAAGGCCTTCGCCGCGGCGGCGCAGAAGGTATCGGAGCAAGCTCAGCGCGCAGTGGCGCGACGACGTCTTCATGAATTTCGTGACTGGGTGCGTCAACACGCAGTGCAGGGCATGGGGGCATTACACCGACATGTCAAGGATCCTATGGCGGAGGTCAACGAGATCTTCAGTAGTCACGGATATTCGTGCGATGCAGCTACTCTCATGATGGCCAAGAGAGCTACCTGGGAACGCCTGTGGAGCCCCATCGGTTTCGATGAAGCTCGAGCTGTGCGAGTCGTGGCCCAGGCGAGGGGGTTGGCCCGCAGCGAGGTACTCCCCCCGCTGGAGCTCAAGGACCTGGAGCTGGCTCTGCAGGCGACTCCCCCCATCTAAGGTGGCGGGCATCGACGGCATCAGGCAGCGCGACGTCTTCGGGCTTCCTCTGGAGGGGCGTCTTCAGCTGCTTCGGCGACTTCATCAAGTTGAGCTGGCAGTTGCTTGGCCGCGGCAGTGGCCCACTGCTGTCATTGTTCTGTCGTGGAAACCTGACGTGCGCAAGGATCGCGCAATCGGGCTTCTGTCTTGGCTAGGTCGCCTGTGGAGCCGAATGCGCTCCCGCCCTGCGGAAGTCAAGGCAGAGCAGCGCTATGGCCCGTGGGGCGCTGCGGTGCGGGGCAACAGCGCTCTGCGGGAGGCGCTGCTAAGAGTGTGCGCCGACGAGGCTTCCTTAGCCTCTCTTTTGCCAGAGTATTGTTCGGCGTCCAACTGCTGGGACGTTGAAGCTTTTTACGATACGATCCGATGGGAGCGCGTTCTGGCCCACGCGGTCGAGCTCGAGTTTCCGCCGATGTGTCTGGCTTTAGGAGCCCTCCTGCACATGGGCCCGCGGTTGCTTCGTGACGGGGGCACCTTCGCCCCCCCCCCCCCCCATCCTTCCCAAGGGTGGGCTTGTTGCTGGAGCTCGCAGGGCCCCCGATTTTGCCAGGTGCCAGATGTTAAAGAATATGCCAGAAAGCGGTCAGCAGCAGTGCCCTGGTCACCCTCCGCACGTGGATCGATGATGTCACCCAGCGTGCGGAGGGAATTCGGAGAGATGTTGTACGCGAGCTGATTGTTTCTGGCGTTACTTTTGCTCAGCAGTGCCATCAGGAGTGTTTGAAGCTGGCCGCCAAGTCCACGATCATTGCGTCTGAGCTTGCGGTGGCTCGGGAGATCCAAGCTGGTCTGGCGACCCATGGAATCCAGGTGGACGTGGCCCCAGTGGCGGCTGATCTAGGTATTGAGAGAGGGGGCGGAGTGCAATGGGGCCAAGCCTAGGCACGCTTCGAGGATGGCCCAGGCTCGGCGTCGTGCACACCGAATCCATAAGATTGCCCGAGTCGCCCCCCGCAAGGTGGGACCTAAACTCATTTTAACGGGAGCCCTCCCTCAGGCCTCCTACGCGTGGAAGGTCTTTGGAGTTGCCCCCGTCGGTCCTCCTGCTGCGGCGTAGGGCTCTAGCTAGTACTTTGACGCGGGGTCTGGTTGGGAGGTGCCTCACTACTCTCCTGGCCCTCGAAGTGGGGCCGGAGGACCCCGCCTTCAGCACGGTCTTTGCGATTCTTGAATCTTGGTTTCAGATTGTTGCCGCGGTCCCCGGCAGAGCTCTCGGCCGCATGCATAGATGTTGGCAAGACACGGCTGCCCGAATTAGCGCGCTGGGCCCAGCGCGAAGGTGGCGCAACGTTCGAGGACCCGTCTCGGCAGTGGTCGTCACTACGCTTGAGCCGGAGAGGAGGCTGGTCGGGCCCTGGAGGTGGATCTCGCCCGGGGGAGAGGAGTTTGCCCTGCCCGACGAGAAGAGGTCTCAGGCCCATATGACCGACGGCTTTCGCCAAGAAGTCTCGAATTCGATCTCCCTTCGGCTCTTGGCGTCGGCCTCGAAGTTCCGAAATGGAGCGGGAGGAGCCGAAAGAGTTGATTTCACAGTCGCGAGGAGCCACCTCGCGAAGCTGCGCAGGGAAGACCCGAAAAAAGAGGGGCTTCTTAGGGCTGTTTTGACTGGTGCCGTGTGGACGCGGTCTCGGATCCTGGCCTCGGGAGGCGAATGCGATGACATTTGCCCTCGTTGTCAGCGGGGCCCAGAGACGGACTTGCATCGCTTCTGGGAGTGCCCGTGTAACCTGGAGCTGTCTGAGCTTTCTGAGGACTTTATACGCCGTGCTGTCGCGGACTCTGAAGTTTCCCCGATTTTGTGGCTCCGCGGCCTCACGCCCTCCTCGTGGACTCGTGTGCCTGAGCCCCCCGACCAGCCTCTCGAGATCTCTTCGGGTGCCATCCCTGTGCCTGGTGGGGATCGCATTTGGGGAGCGGGAGACGCTAGCCGGGGGAAGTTCACCAGGGACAAGAGGATTCGAAGGGTATAGTGGGGCGTCGCGGTGTTTAACCACAGCCTGGATGCTCTCCCCAATCAGGTCGGCGCTGCAAGCGTGGCCTTCACGGCTGGCGGCGGAGCGCCTGGCAAGCAGAGTGTGAATCGGGGTGAACTCTGGGCTCTTGTTAGGTTTTTAGAGGTTACTCCCGACGGGGCCACGGTAGGCTATGTCACTGACTCCGCGTACGTGGTGCGCGGGGTTTCCAGAGTCTTTGGAGATTGTGTGAGGAGAATCCGGTCCCACCGCGATCTCTGGGACCGTGTGGCCAACCTGTGTGCCTCCAGGGATCTTTTGCTGCGTCAGGTTCCGTCCCATCTTGAGCTTCAGGAGGCTGTCAGGTTGGGGCTCAGCCCTGTCCACGTCATTGCCAATGCGATTGCTGACTCGATCGCTGAAGAATGCAGTGCTGATGTCCAGCTCCCGTATGCCTCGAGGGCGGCGGTGGGGTGGGCCGACGGCATCACGTATAAGATCCAGCGCCACCTCCTGAGTGTCATGGAAGATGTGCTGGAGCGCAAGGGTAAGAGGCCCCCCCGCCCTCCGAAGGCTTGTGTCAGGAGGCCGGCGGCGGATAGGCTCCGCTGAGCGGCCCTTGGCACGGCCCACAAGTGTCCTCAGATTCGCGGTGATTTTTCTCAGTGTTCTCAGTGTGGCTGCAGGGCCACGGGTAAGGATGTCACTCGTTTTTGTCCACCCCGTGCACCCCCATGTCGTGGAGTGGGGCGGTGTTCAGACCCACAGGGAGGATTTGTCTTCGGTCGCGTGAGGTGGACCAGAGTCACCGTATCGCTTTTTGGCCAGAAGAAAATCTACTGTGGTGTTTAGTGTGCGGGTGCTACTCTGTTGAATCCCTTCGTGATTTAGCCAGCCCATGTTCAGGTCGGCTCTCGAAAGCGGGGGCCCAGAATCTGTCCAGGGTAGGTCGTGGCTTGGTGCCAGGCAGTAGTGTGGGGGAGGGAGCGGCTTGAGCGGAGAGGGCGGGGGGTGGGGAGAGACAGAGCGGCGAGCGCGGGACCCGCGCCCGCCCGACGGGCGGTGGCCAACCGCGGCACCAACGCCGTGGTCGCCAGGCGCCGCCCCGCCTCCCTGCCCCCGCCCCCGCCTGTTTCCGCTCCTCTCGGCCCTCTGCTGTTGCCATAACGATGTCCTCACTGATCATTGTGATCGCTACTTATATATCTATATATATATATTCCTCCTCCTCCGACTGCTCCCTCTTCATCCCCCTCCTCCTCCTCCGTCTTCCTCCCCCTCCTCCTCGTTGCGACCACGACGACGACGACGACGACGACGGGATCGGTCCTGGCCGCGTAGCCGTTCTTGCGCGCCTGCACCAGCGCGCCGGCCACGTGGCCCAGTGCGTAGCCGAGCTGGCAGTCAAACAGCGTGGGCATCGGGCTCGGGGCCGCTTGCTCGCACGGGGGACGAGTGAAAGGGGGGAGAGAAACAGAGCAAGGGCGACGAAGGGGAGGGGGGGCAGGGCGAGGAGGAGGGGGGAGGAGGATGAGGTGGAGGAGGGGAGCAGAAGGAGCAGGAGGAGGAGGAGGGAGGAGGGAGGAGGGAGGAGGGAGGAGGAGGAGGAGGAGGGAAAGGAGGAGGAGGAGGACCAGTGTAAACCCAAGAGCCATCAACGATAGTGGAATGAACCCTCCCTCCAAGCTTCCTCTTCATAGGCCCCTACCACGGTTCATTTCCACAGAAGGAACTGCCTCGTTGGAAACAACCGTTTGAAAACCCTGAAGCACAACAAAACATTGTTCTCAATATTCCAACGCCACGGATCAACCTGACTGCTGCGTCTTGACGATCCGGAATCGTGCCAGAACGCCATTTGCGGGACTCCAACGCCGCGAATCAACGAAACTGTTGCACCCTCATAATTCTGAACACTTCCAGAACACCATTTCTGGTACGCTGACCATGGGAATCCATGAAACTCTTGCCAACTCGAAAACCGAGTGTGCGCGGCGCTAAAAAAAACATGTTGAAAAAGAACCGCCCTCAATATGTGAAACTCTTGCACATTTGAAAACCGTATTTTGCGGGGCGCTAAGGCGAGAAGTACATTTTGAAAACGGGTCGCCCTCAATCCGTGAAACTATTGCAAATTCTAAAACAAATGTGCGCGGCGCTAAAATGAGAGCTACATGTTGAAGATGGGTCGCCCTCAATCCGCGAAACTCTTGCAATTGTTTTAAGCGCATGCGCGCGGAGCTAAGGCGAGAGCCACTTTTTGAAAACGGCCCGCCCTCAATCCGCAAAACTCTTACAACAGTTGAAGACGAGTGTGCGCGGCGCTCAGGCGAGAGCCACATTTTGAAAATGGCCCGCCCTCCATCTGTGAAACTGTTGCGAATGCTTAAGCCTCAGGGTCATCAATGATGAGAAGTCTCTGGCGAAACGCCCGGCCCGCCCTAACAACTGGCCTCGGGGTGCGACGGGGAGGACGTACTCATAAGGAAATGGAGGAGGAAGAGGAAAACGAATGGGGGAGGAGGAGGAGAAGGAGGGGGAGGAGGAGGAGCAGGAGGAGGAGGAGGAGCAGGAGGAGAAGCCCACGCCACCAAGGAAGTCTCCGATCTATATGCCTGGGCCGCGCCGCCGGAGCCGCCCGCAGCTCGCGCAAGGCCAGAACTCACACCAGCGCCGTTTGATGGGCCTGTTTTCCACCACCACCACCTCCTCCTCCTCCTCCTCCTCCTCCTCCTCCTCCCATGCCCCACCCCCCATGCCCCACCCCTCTTCCTCCTCTCGCGGCAGCGCGCCCCTTACCCCGCATCTCGATCGAGTCAGGTCATTTCGTGCTCCGGCCCTGGAGTCGCTGCGGTCAGTGTCGAAGCAGTCCCCCGAACCTTCAGTGACTGCGACAGCATAGCCGTCAGGAAGAACGAGCAGCGGACATGGCGCCCACAGCATCCCCGATCTGATTTGCACCAACCATCTGAGAATGTCAAGAGGCAGGGTCGGCTCGAGACCAGCAGAAGAAGAAGCATCAGCTGGCTCCGATGGTCGTCCCCAGGTCCAAAAACAGCCGCTTCAGCTTGTTCCAGGACTCTGCATGCATGTCCACCATATCTGCCAAAACGAAAACTCATCTGCAGTCCCAACCAGCTCCAGAAATCCGCGTGCATGTCCACCATGTCCGCTAGTGAGGAGTCATCGCAGGTGTCGGCGAGTACCGACATCGTCAGCGCGGAGAAGGCGCCTCTCTGAGGTGGAGGCAAAGGCTCAGCGACAGAGACATGTGGAAATGCAAGGCCGTCTGAAATACTATTGTCCATCTCGTCAGCTGGTGTAATCAGACTATCATCATTATCTTGGATATGAGGCAGGCTCGCTTCAGAGAGATGTGCGCGCGCCATGAAAAGAGGTACCCGCGCAGAACCGCCAAGACAAAGCCCCGAAGAACTGCCCAGTTCAGCGGCTGTGGCGGCGTCGTATCCGTCGAGATTGGCCAGATCGTTGTACACAAGCTCGCCTGCACGTTTTGTTTCTCTCTCTCTCTATCACTGTCTCTCGCTCTTGTTTCTTCCTCTCTCTCTCATCAATCTGACCATGTAGCCCACGATACACCGCAGCGTGTGCAGCGGGAACTGACGCACAAGGTAGAGAGGGTGACTGTTGGGTGGGAGACACGGCGGGGCCAGATTCGTCAGCAACCAGCGAAGGAAGACAATCAGCTGGTACGAAGTCAGGAAAGGCAACGTCGGCAACGCCCAAGACTGAAATCGACGGTCTGCCATCATCCGTGTTAACCATGCCCAAACCCGTATCTACAGCAGCAGCAGCAGCAGGCGTACCATCATGGTGAGGAGGCGCAGGATCGTTGGAGCTGCTTGCCGGCCATGGCGATGCTGTCGCGGTCGCTCTGTGCGTGCCCACGCTCTCAGGATTGTTGACCTAGCAGTCGAACTCGCCATCAGACATGGCATCACCCTCGAACTGGGCAGGGGCGGAAGTCCTTCTGCAACGCCGTGCATGAGTTCTGCCATTGCCTCGAGGTCCGCTTCAGTAGGAGATAATACCCGAAGCGCGCCCAAGTCACGAGGACGCCGCAGGGGTGAGAGCGGAGAGCGCGGTTGCGAGTCGCACGACACACGACAACGGAATGAAGCAGAGGGCATTCGGGTCGATTTCCACCCTGTCCATGTCACGCGGTCTTCTTCCAGCACAGCACGTAATCTGGGGACCACGTCGGGAGGACGAGGAAGGGCAAGCCCGCGGCTAACTAGGCTCGAAGGCCGAACGGCATCCTCGAGGGGTCAGGGGACCATTGGAGCATCGCCAGGTGGCCCAGCGCGTTCTGCCAAGCAAAATGGATGACAGGTGGATCCATACCGGGGAGCTCGGCCTCAAGATGACGTCGCCGTTGCTCTCGAGTAGGAACCGACGCGTGCCACGCGGCCAGACAAACCTCTTCAGCTGTACGTCTGCATCTGTCATCGCCTCTCTTCGTAGCACACCCCACCAGTGGTGTGAAATGCTGGAAGTGAGCACACAGAACACATACTCAACACACCAATCAAGCCAAGTGTAGAAATTGTCGGCCTGGTCCGCATAGTAGACAAAGGGAACCCAGGGTGTAGCCTCTGCCGTCGCCGTTGCTCGGTCGGTGAGTTCGTGCCTAGCCCTTTCAGCTCTCCGGTAGTCGTCCTCGCTTGCACCACGAGTTTCGAACAGCAGCGTGTTGATATTGATGCTGGCTCTCCATTGGCTTGCCGACCTGGTGGTCGTCTGGTGATCATTCGGATGCTGCTCGACTGAGCCTGCCTCAGCGTCGCCGTCCGAGCCACTCGGAGGAGAAGTCTGAGGTTGTGGGCACATGTCATCGACGACTTGTGCTTGAGAAGGCGGATGAAGCCCAGGGTGAACGCTTCGCGACGACACAGGCATCGGGCCTCTTGATGGATTTAGGAGGCGTCTGATCTGCATGTGGTTGCGTCTGAGCAGGAACTGCTGGTAATGATGATCAGCTGCTCGCTGCCACGGGCCAGGGCGAAGGCTCCTAGCTGCTTGCGTGAAAGACCCTGTGCACTCAATGCGCAAGAAGCCGTGAGGCGCTCTGGCACACAGAAGCACACAAGCGTTCTGGAGAAGCCAGAATCTGGATGGAATGACAGGGAGGAGGAGGAGGAGGAGGAGGAGGAGGAGGAGGAGGAGGAGGGAGGAGGAGGAGGAGGAGGAGGAGGGAGGCGGAGGCGGAGGAGGAGAGGAGGAAGAGAAGGAGGGAGGAGAAGGAGGGTTTGGGAGGAGAAGGAGAAAGGAGGGAAGAGGATGAGAGGAAGAGGAGGAGGAGGGGGAGGAGGTGGAGGAGGAGGAGGGGGAGGAGGAAGGGGAGGAGAAATAGGAGAAGGAGAAGTGAGGAGGAGGAGGAGGAGGAGGGAGAAGGAGGGAGGAGGAGGAGGTGGAGGAGGAGCCAGCATCGAGGATCCAATTGTGTTGTAGTCTCTGCTCGCTTCCTTCTTGGACCTTCTGGGGGACCCTCGTAGCCACGGCTGGATCCGCCTCACCACCGCGGCCGCTCTTTTTCGTTGTCTCTCTTTCTCTCTCTCTCTCTCTCTTTCTCTCTCTCTCTCTCTCTTTCTCTCTTTCTGGTTCTCTCTCTCTATCTCTCTCTCTCTCTCTTTTTCTCTTTCGCGTTCTCTATCTCTCTCTCTCTCTCTCCCTCCCTCCCTCACTCCCTCCCTCCATATCTCTCTCTCTCTCATTCTCGGTGTCGCTCTGTCTTTATGTCTGTATGTTTATATGTGTAGATGAATGTATACATATGCGTGTCTGAAGTATCTCTCCTTAGCCCCCTGGTCATAAGCATGCACTTCCTCCTTCTAGTCGCTGCAAGCAGCTTAGCAGCTCCAATATAAAAATGGCCCTCTCCAACACTCCTCATATTGCGAAGAAGGCGGTCACCTGACAGCGATGTGGCGCAGGCTGTGCGGCTGCTGGTCAAAGTTGTCCACGGTTGGCTCCCCCTGACTTCGGCGACGGCTCAGGCAGCGGGTCACGAGCGATCCCAGCTCGCGCTCTGTCCTTAGCACGGCTCTCACCATCAGATAGGCTCCGCGATTCCTCCGCTGGGGCCTGTCTTCTTCTGACTCGCATGCCCACCCGGACCATAGTGGTGCGCAATGGGGATGCAAGAACCTGCGAGGTGAAGCCTGCGCAAAGAGCTGGACAGCAAATGGAACCCAGGAACGCCAGCGAAGGATAAAGGACGAGAAGGAGGAGAAGGAAGCCCCCTTCTCCCCCATCCTCCCATTCCTCCTCCCCATCCTCCCTCCCCCCCCTCCTCCCCCTCCCCACCCCCCTCCTCCTCCTCCTCCTCCTCCTCCTCCTCCTCCTCCTCCTCCTCCTCCTTTCCACCGCGCTCACAATCACAATGCGGTCAGCCATGCTGGCCCCTCAAGCCAGCGATAGAGGCCGCCAGACCTCCGTGGCCGCGTCGTCTGGGCAGGGCCCTCTGAGGCTCCGTCTCCTGTGGCAGCAGCATCGGCATGCCGTGCACATCTGGGGGCTCTCTTCTCTTGGCGGCACGCAGAAGATCGGGGGACAAAAAGATACGGATACGTGTTGTCCCCCTTCGTTTTCGGCCTTTCCTGGTCCTCCTGGGGAATCCTCGTTGTCACCGCTGGATTCGCCTCGAAATTCTGGTCAGAACGCACCCCAAGAGAGGTCCGGGGACAACACGTATCCGTATCTTTCCGCCCCCCAAGAAGAGGAGCAGGGCAAGGGATGCACCGAGAAGAAGAAAAAGAAGAAGAAGAAGAGGAAGAGGCAGAAGTAGGGGAAGCCCCTGACCTCCTCCAGCATTGAACATCTCAAGCTACACCCGCACTCGAGCATCGAACAAGGTCTACGCTGGAGGACTCCCTTGACGAGGCCGTTCGGAACCTGCGCGTCCAATTGTGAGGCTCAAGCAGCCCCTGCAGTGACGTCTCCAAGGTGCCCCGCGGCGCCACACAAACTGACCCCCTCCGCGACGAAGGGGGCCCAAAACTGGATTGTTCCACGACGACCCCCTCCCCCCTGCAGGGTTTCTCGAAGCCTGCATCGGAGCGTGCATCGGAGCCTACACCGGCGCGAGGTTCCGACGCTGTGCAGGTTGCGTGGAGCATCGTTGGCCAAACAGGCGCCCAGTGTATCTCAGAAGTCAGGCGAAGGCTGGCTAACCAGTGGCTGCAAAAACGGAGCTCCGGGAAATTGTTTTCTTCAGGGAAGGAGCCCGTTTGCTATTTAGCGCGATGAGTTTTATTCCGAAAATTTGTTTTGTCTTCCGGGAAGGCCGTTTTAGCAGCCACGGATTTGCCAGCCCTTGCCCAGCTTCCGAGTATCGGCGACATGTTTCGCCCGAGTCAGCAACAAAAAATAACGTGGATCGCTTGGACCGCGAATGTCGACATGCGTGTCGCGGAGGAACGACCGGCTGGTCCAGGGAGCGGCAAGGCCGCCTCTTAAGAGAGGAGGAGAGGCGGGGGGAGACGGTACACGGTTTCCCTCGGGGCCGTAGGCGACCCGAGAAGGAGGAGGAGGAGGAGGAGGAGGAGGTGGAGAAGGAGGAATAGGGGAAGGAGGAGAAGGAGGAAGAGGAGGAGGAGGAGGAGGAGGAGGAGGAGGAGGAGGACGGATCGCCTAAGCCCTTCGGAGAAACCCTCCAGGAGTCGGAGTGGGCACGGGTTGAGATTGCACTCGGGACGCCAAAGCACACGTTGTAAGGCGAGGAATGCCCTAACCTGAGCAACAGCAGCAGCGGGGTTGCGGGAGGGCCCGGGTTCAGCGACCGATCTGTTTCCAGGAACGCGAAGCCCAGCCAAGGGGAGGAACCCGAGGAGAGGGAGGAAGGGCAGCAAAACATACATATCAAGACTCAAGATGTAAATTTATGCCCCATCTGCATGGACTTTGCGCAGTGTGAACCGGATAATATAGTAAGGCTGGCAATGCGAGGTGGTGATGAATCAGCGACCAGGGGGAGATTGCTAAACCGATCGCGATCTAGGGGTCCTGAGCAAGCGGGGGGACCACCAACAAGCATTGTGTTGTATGCGCAGCGTGGCGCGCACAAGCCCTGGACTACCCGCAAGCATTGGTGCTGAGTGGCGCGGAAGTGCGCGGAACCTTTACAAATAACTTGCGGCGGTCACGCGCACGGTACTGCCTGAATGTCACTACGCCGACCTTGCAGACGTGCTGCAGCGGATTTACGCATGAATTTCTGTCAATGCAAAGCCCTGAAACGGCGAGCGAAAAACGATGTGACTTTCGCGTGGATGTCGTTTAGTCGCCCTTCCTGGCCAAAACATCTCACGAAATTCACCTCGAACTCCGGAACGAATTCTCCAGGACACTCCGGACCCATCCGATCGTCCTCCGAACGAAATCCGCTCTGCGATGTTGGCGCCATGATGAATGTGCTGTAGTGCTCATAAGCAGTGTGGCGTTCACAAGATCGCTGGTGCACCTAAAAGCGCGGTGGTGCTGGCGGGGCATGTGGTGCCCAGAGGCCCTCAGGTGTTCACAGGCTCTGTGGCACCCACGGGCACGTGATCACGGATCATGCGGCGCTGGCGCACACCACAGCGTTGGGAAGAGGAAGGACACAAGGAGGGGGAAGAGAGAGAGGGGGGGCAGGGGAAGGGGGGGAGAGAACGCGGAGGAGAAGCCGAAGACGATCGGCCCCTCCTCTTCACCGCGTCCTACGCGTACGCCTTATTCGAATCCACCCATCTCCATTACCATCACAACCACTACTGCAATACTACTACTGATCCCTCGACATGTCCTGACACTTGTTGGACCTCAACCTGGATGGTGCAGCGGTCCGTGTGAATCTTCATATGGAACTGACGATGAGCTATACTCCTTCCTCAATGCATGATTTCGTGAATTGTACATCGTTTTGGTCCACTCGTCGTGTAAGTTGAGCCCACGTCAACCCTACAGCGTTTGAGGGCGAAGCGCTGGCGAGGGGGGAATGCGAAACACACCGCGCTCAGGAAGCGAGAATCCCCCCAGAGGGGTGCATCTACTGCTCTTCGTCGAACATGAGGCTGAAAGAAAGCAGGCCCCTAGAACGACGCGTTCAAGAAAATGAAGAGGCTGTTGAGTGCGTTGAAGCGTTGTCGGATGCCTCTGAGAGGCGGCAAAACTTATCGAAACCCGAGCTCAGTAAACGGCGCAATCATTGCTCAACGTTTTGCGCGCAGGCAATGGGCGACGGCGGCCCACGGCGCAAGATCTCTTCCGTCAACTGCCCCCACCCCCCTGCCCAGTTAGCGTCGCCCGCGAGCAGAAAAAACGCAGGTCCGGACGCCCGCATCTCCTGCCTCCTCCCCGGGAGGAAACCCGCAGCATGCCACCACCAGGCCTCTGCAGGCCTGAATTGGGCCCAAGCGCTGGCAAGTACGACCTCACGACCTGGCCGGGAGCCGATGCCCACGAAGGTACGGGCCGAGACGGGGCCTGTGGAGGCCTGGTGGTTGTGACGGAAGCTGCTCCTCTTCGACGCCATCGCCCACAGAACGAGTGGGGCATCGGCACCGCCGTTGTGAAGCTCCCTTCGAGCCGCAGTTGCCCATGGGGCCACGGGCACAAAAAAAACAGAAAATCCAATAGAAACGTCAAGGAAAAACAGCCACTGATGATACATACGAAAACCGCCAGGAAACCTCCCCTCAAAGGGGCTCCTGTCCGCAGAACGAGGGCGTGGCAGACGTCCGCGGGCAGCATCTCGAAGAACGTGCGCAGCTCTGGGGGCAGCGACTCCCGGGCGCCCTCCACCTCGACCAGACCAAAGGCCCAGAAGAGAAGGAGGAAGAGGAGGAGGAGGAGGAGGAGGAGGAGAACGGGGGCCTCCTCGTCCTCGTCGTCGTCCTCCTCCTCCTTCCTCTTCCTCCTTCTTCTCCTCCTCCATCTCCTACTCTTCCATCTCCTCCTCCTCCTCCTCCTCCTCCTGCTCCTGCTCCTCCTCCTACTCCTCTTCCTGCTCCATCACAAACAAGCGACAATATCACATGATTCATGACTCGAGCAATTATTGCATCCACCTCCTTCCCCGACTCGCCCGAGGCACCGTAAAGAAGGGGAGTATGAAATTGAAGAGGGAGACGGGAGAGGAGACAGGGAAGGACGGTGAAAAGGAGCAAAACATGTGATGCGAACAAGGAGCAGGGCGAGGAGACGGAAAAGGGAGGAGAAGCAGCAACATGAGAAGAAAGCGGGGAAGGAGGAAGGAGGAGCAGGAGGATGTGGAGGAGGACGGGGAGGAGAAGGAATTGGTAAGAGAAGGGAGGAGGTAAATGAGCAGGGGGAGGAGCAGGAGGGAGAGGGGGGAGAAGGAATGGGACAGGAAAGGAGAGGAAGATAGAGGAGTGGGGCCAGGGCAGAAGGTAGAGGACGAGTCCGAAGAGGAGGAGGAGGAGGAGGAGGAGGAGGAGGAGGAGGAGGAGGAGGAGGAGGAGGGGGGGAAGGAACGGGGAGGAATAGAGAGGATGGGGGAGGAGGGGGGAGGGGGGAGCGGGAAGATGGAGGAGGGGAGAGGAGGGGGAAGGAGGGGGAAGGAGGGGAAGGGGGACGAAGAGAACGAGGAGGAGAAGGAGGAGGAGGAGGAGGAGAAGGAGGAGGAGGAGAACCTTCCCCCCAGAGGGTGGGGTCCATGCTCGGGCCCTCTCCCCACGAGCACTGTCGCGCCAGTCCACCACCTCCTCCCCCCACCCACGGTCGTCGCGCCGCTCCCTCGTTCCTTCTCCATCCCCTTCCTCTTGGGGCCGCAGGGACTTGTCCCACCCCCACCCCAAGCCCAGGAGGTCCTCTCCTCAACTTTGTCCTACATTACAAACCATTGGCTCGATCCTCGCAGCGGCAACGGCCGCTGGTGGGGAAAGGGGAGAGCAGCGCCCCGTCGTGAGGCAGTGATGCCACTGGGCTGCACGGCTACAGGAGGAGGGAAAGGGGGCCCTCTGCCTCGGATTGCCCCTGCCCTTGGCACGGGCCGGTCCCTTGCATTAGGTCGGGCATGTCTTCCAACAGGCGGATTGTGGACGAAAAATGATCAAGAAATAAATATACGAAGATAATCGAAAATCGTCCCCAGGTGTTGTTGGACTATTTTTGAATCATCCGCATGTAGAGGGACATGCCCGACTTAACCCTTGCAGCCACCGAGCGCATATCCGCTGGTTTGGTCTTGCGCAGGCTGCACAGCTCGTCGCGGAGCTGCCTCATCTCCACGAGCCTGTCATAAGGTGGAGGAGGGGCAGGGGGAGAGGGAAGGAGAGCGGTGAGGAGGAGGAGAAGGAGGAGGAGGAGGAGGAGGAGAAGGGGAGGAGGAGGAGGAGGAGGAGGAGGAGCAGGAGGAGGAGGACAAGGAGGAGGAGGAGGAGAAGGAGGAGGAGGAGGAGGGAGCGGGGAGAGGGAGGGAGGGAGAGAGGAGGCAGGAGGAAAAGTGAGGTATGGGGGAGGTCCAGCTCAACCTGCCCTCCTCGAGTCCTCCTTCTCCTCTGCCTGCTCCCCCTCACCGTCCTCGTGTTCACCTCGTCCTCAGTGGCGCAGGGGAGCGCCACGCCGAGCTCCGCGCCCCGCCAGTGCGCTGGGACGCCGTCCGTGTGCCTCTGCTCCGCTGCGGACGCACTCCCGACTCCCTGACTCGCAAGCGCCCCGTTCCCCCTCGAGTGCGCAGGTGTTCGCGGCACGGCCCTCCACGACCACTACCACAGGTCGAGGATGGATGCTTCGCCACTTCTCGGCGACTTCCACGCGCGTTCGAGGCGGGGAAGATGCGCCGTGAGATGCGCTCGCAGGAGAGGGCCACAGACAACGGCGGCGTCGGAGAGGCGACAGCGGGGGGCACGCTCGGGGGCGCGCAAACATGGATTAGCGATCCATGGATTTGGCGCGAGGTCGCCAAATCCATGGATCGGGGGAGGTGCCCTCCCCAAAATGCGGCCGGTGCCGCCTCGCTCGGCGGCGGAAATCCGCGGTTTCCCATGGAAACGGGACCCGTCGCTAATCCACGCCCGCATCGATCCGTGTTTGCGATCCCCCGAGGCACGCAGGGCCTTCTCTTCCCCGCCGCCGGGCCGAAAACCGGCGTGCGCTGCCCCCGAGGCGCCGAGGCGCCAGCGACCCCCGAATGCAACGAAAAGCTCGGCCGAGGCTGACGCAGTTCGCCCACACGGGTGGCGGGGGCCCGCTGGCCCACAAGCGGCACAGGGCACCCCGCTGCTTCTTCCGAGGCCTCGCAAGGGTCTCCGACGAGCGGTGCTCATGATGGCCCAGTGATGGTCCGATTTTCTGCCACCGCTACCATAGGCAGGACGGGGGAGAATGGAGGATCGTGAGGTCCTCCGCCTCCTCCTCCTCCTCCTCCTCATCCTCCTTCTCCTCCTCCTCCTCCTCCTCGTCCTCCTCCTCCTCCTCCTACACCTCCTCCTCCTCCTCCTCCTCCTCCTCCTCCTCCTCCTCCTCCTCGTATCCTACCTATGGTAGTGGTGGTGGAAAATCGGCCCATCATCACTGCCCCATGCCCTCCTGGGGTCGCCCCTGCGACCTTTCGCGTCCCCCCTGGGGCGCCCCAAGCTCGCATCAAGGGTGCTTCGAAGAAGGCCAAAGGTTGCTCCGATAGGGGCAACGCCGGGACTGAAGGCGCTCCTGGAGGTCACCGCAAGGCCCTCCCCTCAGACTGCCAGCACATCCACTCCACCTGCATGCACTCAGACGTCTGAGATGCTAGTCTACTCACCGCAGGCGCTTTGAGAAGACCGTGAGCGTCCACTAAGCAGGATCTGGACCATCATTTGGCGACCTGCGATACTGCAAGGAGATCTACGTGCACAGAGAGGAAGAGAGAGAGAGAGAGTACAAAAGAGAGAGAGAGAGAGAGATAGAAAGGACACAAAGAGAGAGAGAGAGAGAGAGAGGACGGGGAGGAGGAGGAGGAGAGACAGACAGAGAGAGAGAGAGAGAGAGAGAAAAAACAAGGGGAGAGAGAGAGAGAGAGAGCAGCAGCAGCAGCAGCAGCAGCAGCGACTTGAACAGCACACATGTCATAGCACACTTGTGCCGTAAATGAGTCACGTGTCGTATATGATTGCGTCAGCAACAACTGCCGTAGAGCGTATGGCAAGCACATACTTCACTTAATTGGCATATGAGTGCGATATGGAAGCTGGCTGAGCACCACCTGATGTTATCGGAAAGCCACGCTGATGACACCCGTAGCTCAGAATCTCAGCACTGCGCGTCCAAACTACAAGGGGCTACCGCTGCACCTTCAACTGTACGACGCCCCGCTGTCTGGGCGAGCTCTGCGAAGCATGGGAAGTTACGATTGATTGTCGCGCTTTACCTCGACAGGGAGAAGACGGCATGAAAATGGAATAATAGGTACGCGGGGAACGGGTGGTTGAATAAGGGGGAGGGAAGGTGACGGAAGGGCGGGGAGGAAGGGAGGGGATGAGAAGGGAAGAGAAGAGAAGGGCGGTACAAAAAGACGAATCGCGTCGCTACTCACGCAAGACAAAGACGCCTGACATTTGTAGCTATACCAGACGCCCTGGGGTTCCAAACGCAAGGAAGAAATCTGACAGGCAGTATATTGTGAAGAGACGCGGGGCGGAGGAGCAATGGAGGAGTAGCGGGAAGGAAAGCAGATGAGGAAAGGAAGGAGTGCCATGGAGAGTCCAAAGAGTGGCAAGAGTGGCAAGGCAGGCAACTGCAACAGGAGGACGGACCATCGGCAAAGGCATGCGAGCGGGCCTGAGAAAATACCAAAGCTAGATAACGAGTCAAGGCCGGCACAGGACGCGGCAAGAACAAAGCCAGCAGCATCAGCAATGACAGGGAGAACGCCCAAGGCGGTGAGGCGGGCGAGGCCAGCCTCTCGAAGAAGTCGTCGGATACCATGACGACGCCCGAGTGCAAGCCGTGGTCGTGGTGCCGCGATACGACGACGTCGCAGATCTCATCGATGATGCCCTGCCAGCCCACTTGAGAAGCAGGCGGGCGGAGCACACAGACACTGGACAGGGGACGGGGAGGATGCGATGAACGAGGGCAACGAGTGACGGGAAGGCCACATGCAATCAGGACGCGCAGGAACGAATGAGAATGCCGTGAAAGAAATGCAGACACGCCTCGAGGTCGATAAGAAGTCCGGGGAGCGGATGGAGTAAGGGGGCGGCTGGTCCAGAAGGATGACGCAGAGGCGCCAGGGAAGCTCAGATGGACCCATGACCCAAACTCAACTCAACCTGTTCTGCTCGGCACTCCTGCGCGCAGCGGTCCCGAAGCCGCCTGGGCCGCCCGGGCAGCGGCCCAGACAGGTCACCACTGTGCTGCGTGCCTCCTCGTGCTGAGACAGGAAGAGCTCCATCCGGACCCTCAGAACCTCAGGAGCGGGCTCCACGAACTCCAGCGGCACCTCGCCCGGGGCCTCGGGTTGCGCGGCCTTGCCCGCCGCCTCCTCCGCGCTGATGCACGCCTCGACTGCTGGGCTGTACACCCAAGACACGCGGTTGACCTCGCAGCCATGGTCGCAGCATCGCTGCAACTCGCTCGAGCTGCCGCAGACCCTGAAGCCGATGGTCTGGCAAATCCGGGACGCCTCGCGGTAGGTGGCGCTCTGCGGCAAGCAGCCAGCACTTCCGAGCGCCGTAATCCACGATCTGTTCCGCAGCACCCAGTTCGGCAGGCACGCGTCGTGATGAGCGCCCTGGAAGCTCCAGCTCAAGCAGCACCTGACTGCTGCGAACGCGCTGGGCGACACGTCTTTCAGCTGTGGCTCAGCCCCGTCGCGGCCGCACCAGTCCTGAGCAGTGCGCGCCCGTATGCCCAGGCACCCGTCGGGGACCCGGGGCGCGACGACCGGCTCCTCGTTGGCAGGGCACAGCTCCACCAGGTCCAAGACAGGCCGCGCCACGCCCGCGCGCTCGTGGCCAGCCACCGCTGCGGCCGGCTGGAACCCGCGGAGCCCATCGAGCCAGGTTGCATCGCTACTCAGCTTGAGGCGCGAGGGCTCGAACGCTTCGTGGTCGAAGAGCTCCGAATCGAAGCCGCTGCCGCCGAACCGATGAAGGTAGAAGACACGGTCACCCAAGCCTCCGTGCTCGACGAGTCTCTGTCGCCATTCTGCGAGAGTCCTGCCAGAGCATGCGAACGCCACGGCAGAGTCGTAGTCCCACCAGGGCAGCCGGGCCAGCAGCCGCGCGACGTCAGCCACGCGGGGCGGCCAAGGCAGCAGGCCTATGGCCACGCTGCGAGGGCGAGCCGCCCAGAGCGAGGGACCCCAAAGCGCCGTGAGGGCACGCGAGCACTCACGTTGTGCCTCATCGATGGTGTGGGGGTCGTTGGCGTGGAAGTGGTAGTGGCCCTGGTAGCCTGAGAAGAGGGAGCCGTGCGCGAAGGCCAAGTCCTCGGTCTGCTTGGCCCCCATGTCCGTCTTGAGGAACACGCGGGGGATGCCCTTGACGGCGAGGTGGGCCTCGTACCACAGATTGTCCTGGATCATGCAGGACGTCACCGTGAACTGCGGGCGGCCCTCCATGTCTGGGCGCAGCTGCCCAAGCGCGTGAGCCGCGGCGCCGTAATTGAATATCCCAGCATCGAAAAATCGGCGCTGGAAGAGCATCCCATACGTGGTGTGAACGAGGTTGGGCTGGATGCATGGGCATCGCTTAACCGACCCCTATCCCCATGAACGCGGCCTGGGCCCCGATGGCCGATTGACCCCTAGAATGGGGATATAGGCCGTTCCCTTCGGGTTTCGAAGTGTGTGCCCCCAACTGGGGATGCAAGGATGCTGGGGGTCTGGATGGGGATAGGGGATGGGGATGGGGATCGGTCAAACGATACCGAATGCAGGCTCCGTGCGGATCGTGCTCTTTGCACCAGACTCCTGCACCGTAGTAGGACATGGCGCCGACCATGGCTCCAGGCTGTGCCTCACTCTGCGCCAGCAGGCGCTCTGCCAACATGGGATGGTAGACGATGTCATCGTCCACAACCAAGATGCGGGTGCTGGGGTCAGTCTCGTGCCCCAGAATACACAAAACAGCGGACTGCGACTTGAAGTCTTGCTCACAGCGCAGAATCCGGACCTGGCCCGGGGCAAGCTCCTTGTACCACCATGGGTGGTCGTACCAGGACCAGTCCCGCAGGAAGGTGTACGGCAGGACCAGGTATATGGCATCGAGCCTGTGCGTCTGGTAAGGAGGCCGTAAAATCACAGAAGCAGGTGAGCGGCAGAGTGCCGCTGGCGCCCGACTCCCTCCCCGTAGCCAACCCTGGCGTGCAAAGCGCGTCAAGTGCGGCGGTTTCGGAGCCTCCCAGATGGGTGCGGGGGGGAGGTCTGGCGCCACTGGCAGTCTGCCGTCCTCGGACGCCCAACAAAAATCGAAACGCTCACGTGCTTTTCCAGCCTCCGACTGGTACGCGAGCGACCGCAGCACCAGCTCCAGCTTGTACAGCCGGAACGGCGTCGTCGTCAGCGCGGCAATGACCCTGTGGCGCCGGGGCACCTCTGACGGGCGCAGCGAGGGTCCAGCGCAGCAGCTGGCGAAGGACAGCTCTGGGCGTCCCCGCCAGCAAATCCAACTGCCCACGCCTCGGAGGGAGAACGCTGAATTCCTACGACTCGAAACAATCCCGCCGAGGTCGTCTCCCAGTCTCGGCGTCTGGAGGCCTGTTCCAGGCCGCCAAACAATAAAAAACGGCTCAGGATGCAATGCCAGTCCTGGGGAAGGGGTCGAGAGCTCCGTGGGTCGGCGAGTCATAACAACGAGTCGGAGGGCTGGAGGGAATGAGAACGATGATGAATCGAGGGCAAAAAACTAACAAACTGGTATGTAAAGATAGACCGGGCGTCTCCGAGAGTCAGCGGGTCTGGGGAATGCATCGGGACGCGGCTGTTCCAGACTTTTTTGGAACGGTCTGAGAAGGCATTGGAACGAGTCGTCCGTATCCTGTAACTGCCCGAAACGAGAATGGACGACGTAGGAGGAGGAGGAGGAGGAGGAGGAGGAGGAGGAGGAGGAGGAAGAGGAGGAGGAGGAGGAGGGTAGGAGGAGGAGGAGGAAGAGGAGGAGGAGGAGGGGGGGTGGAGGAGGAGGAGGAGGAGAAGGAGGAGGAGGAGAAGAAGGATAAGGAGGAGGAGGAGGAGGAGGAGGCGCAGGGCCTCTCCTGCGCCCAGTCGAGTTGCAGCAGCGCGCGAAAGTCAGGCGCGTCCCCTGCCAGCAGCCCACATTTCCAGGCTCGAAGGCGATGGTCCGGTACTCCGACGAGCCCGAGACGAAGTCCCGCGGGGGATCAAAGGCGCCTCGGAGCGCCAAGCCCGCATCCGCCATCACACCGCTGGGCGCTGCAGCACGGCTGCCATCAGGAGGCGCAGGAGGGGTAGGAGGAGACGCGCGGGAGCACTGGAAGAGCAAAACGAGCTACTTCAGCTAGAATGGCTAAGATAACAAGTTCAGCTCATGAGGCGCAACCGTCTGGACAGTCCTCCTAACAAGAAGAGATCATGTGTGCCAGCGGGAGCCCCGTACAGTGGGTTCAATGGGTTCTAGCACTAGGGACGTACAGAATGGAGCGCACGTTAAGCTGGAATGCGACAGATGTGGCGCAATATACACTGTGGCAACCACGGAGCACAAACTACCTGGCACAATCTACATGCTACAAATTAATACCCGCACAACATGCGCGTGTGACCACCTCCTATGCTCGCGCACACATCCCACCCTCCCACCCGCAACATGCTGGCAACGCTCATCTGGCCATGATCTCAACGAGCGCACGTGCACCTGGAACTTAACCGCCCAGACAAAACCGACCTGCAGGTCGCGAAATGGTTGTGGCGACGGTGACAGCCGCGACGCCAACGACGATAGCGATGACAGTGGTGATGACGCTGATGTCGATGGTGCTGACAGGGTGATGAGGACGATGTCGACGACGACGACGACGGTGATGGTGATGAAGCTGATGGTGACAAATTCGGTGGCAGCGATGACGCTGGCGATGATGATGACAATAGTACTGGTGAGGATGATGATGAAGTTCGCGTGCAGACATTTGACGAGGACGACGTCATTGATGATGGCGATGATGACGGTGGCGGTGATGCTTAAGACGATGATGATGCTATTGATGATGGTAATGATGAACATGTTGGCGGTGGTGATGGTAGTGATAATTATGATTATGTTAAGACTACGATGGTGATGATGGTGATGGTGGCGATGATGATGATGGATGATGGATAGTGTCGGTGATGACGATGGTGGTAGTAGCGGTGGTGATGATGGTGATCGTGATGGTGATGATGATGCCGAGTGGTGGTGGGAATTGTGGGTGTGGTAATTGATGAGGATGGTGATATGATGCTGGTAAAGGTGGTGACGTTGGCGATGGTGATGATAATGCTGATGATGATGCTGATGATGAAGATCATGGTCATGATGCCGATGCTGCTGATGATAATGATGATGGTGATTGTGCTGGCGATGAAGCTGATGGTGGTGATGATGGTGATGATTGTGGAATTTCTTAAGGTTTCACTGATGATGGTGATTGTGATGGTGATGATGATGATGGTGATTGTGATGATGAGTGACGGATGGTGTCGGTGATGAAGATGATGGTAGTGGCGGTGATGATGATGATGATGGTGATTGCGATGATGATGATGATGATGATGATGATGGTGATGATCATGATGATGATGATGATGATGATGATGGTGAGGATGCCGAGTGGTGGTGGTGGTGATGGTGTTGGTGATGATGATGCTGATGATGCTCATGATGATGCTGAAGATGAGCATGATGTTGACGATGATGCTGACGACGATGATGATGATGATGGTGATGGTGATGGTGACGGTGGTGATGATGGTGATGATGATGATGATGGAGACAGTGGTGATGGTGATGGTGATGGTGATGATCCTGATGATCATGGTGATGATGATGGTGATGATGATGAGGCTGACGATGATGCCAATGATGCTGATGATGATGCTGATGATGATTATGATGATGCTGATGATGATGAAGATGATGATGAAGAGCTTACGATGTTGATAAGGTGTGTGCTGATGGTAGTGATGAGGAAGTGCCGTCCGAAGAATCCCACCAGCCCTCTGGGCGCAGGTGGCCTAACGTTGCAACAATGTGTTTCTGTCCACTTCGAAAAACCATTCTTCCCCTTCGGGGAGGGGTTTATCACTGTCCCCTATGAATATACACCCCCTCCCCCAGGCGACCGGCAGCCAACCAGGAACGTTGAGGACCCCACGAGGACCTCCCCAAACAACTCTTGTCAAAAAACAATACGAACACACACTCTGCCTCCAAATTCGGAGCATGCGCAACCAACCCGATGCGGGCCCCCCCCAATATCCCTGTCAAAAAAATACAAAGTACACTTGGGGGCAAAGTCTGGAGTCATATCCGTGAGGTCCGAGAACACTTTGTATTGTTTTTTTGACAAGGACGGCGGGGGCGTCAGCGTATTGCCTGCTGTGCGCAGGGCTACCGTCTCTAACAGAAAACAATACAACATGCACTTCGTGGCGAAATCTGGATCGTGTGCGGCCATCCCGCGATCACTGCCAAGTGGCTTTTGACAGGGACGGCGGGGGTGGTGGCGTATGGCCTGCTGGCGCACGCGGAGGCACGTGACGCATCTGGCGCAGCAGGCGTGCCTGGCACGCTCGGGCCCCAGGGGTGCCTCGCGCGCGTGGCGCGCCTGGCATACGAGGCGCACCTCGCCCAAGCGTCGCGCACCTGGGCTCGGTTTTGGTTCCCAGTAGCTGCCCATCCAAAGAGGTCCGCTGAACATGCTCAGGCTCGGGTGTTACTTACGTGTTGGGAGGGCGGGTGGGAGTGAGCTAGACGGACTGCTATCTATCTAGGAGGGTGTCTTGATCACTGTTCCTCACTAATATACACCCCCTCCCCCAGGCGACCGGCGTCCAACCAGGGACCATGAGGACACCATGACGTCCCGCCCCCCATCATCCCTGTCCAAAAACAATACAGACCGCACTCTGCCTCCACATTTGGAGCATGCGCGCCCAACCCGATTCGTCTCCCGCCCCCCCCTACACTATCCCTGGCAAAAAAACAATGCAACATACACTTTGGGGCAAAGTCTTGAGTCATATCCGTGAGGCCCGCGAGCACTTTGTATTGGTGTTGACAAGGACGGCGGGGGTGTCAGCATATTCCTTGCCGTGCGCAGGGCTACCATCCCTGACAAAAACCAATACAACATGCACATCATGGCTAAATCTAGATTATGCGCGGCCATCCCGCGATCACTGTGAAATAGTTTTTGACAGGGGCGGCGGGGGTGGTGGCGCGTGGCCTGCTTTGCGCGGGCCCACCAGACACAATGATGGGCATTGGTTTTCGACAAGAATGGGGGGGCCGACATGTTTCCCGATATGAGCTGTCACGTGCGCAGGCGCACCTGACGCACTGCCCCGAACGTGGCGCACCTGGCGCGGCTGGAGTGTGCGGCACACCTGGCGCACTCGGAGCACGTGGCGCATCTGGCGCACCAGGCGTGCCTGGCACGCTCGGGCCCCAGGGGTGCCTGGCACGCGTGGCGCCCCTGGCACGCGTGGCGCACCTCGCCCAAGCGTCGCGCACCTGGGGTCGGCTTTGGTTCCCAGTACACCCAAAGACGACCGATGAACACGCTCAGGCTCGGGTGTTACTTATGTGTTGGGAGGGCGGGTGGGAGTGAGCTAGACGGCGTGCGGGCGGGTGGGTAGCTTGACCGCTCCCCCTACTCCCTCCCCTGGAACTGGACGGGGGGTTTTGCGAGCGGTCAGGGCGTCCACGATAGCCTGAGATGGCTCCAAAAGGGCCCCAGAGAGCCCAAGATGGCATCCAAGATCGCTCATGCTAGCCCAACATGGCTCAAGATAGCTAACAACATGCCTCCAAGAGGCCCCAAGAGGGCCACAAGATGGTTCCAGATGCTTTTGGCGACCCCTCGGGACCTCCCCAAGAAGCCAAAATCCTACAACACCTAAAGATAATCACTGGTGTTTGCCTTCTCGCCTTTTCGTTTCCGATACGCTTTTGAGGCCGCAGGATGCCCTAAGATGGCCCAAGAGAGCTCCAAGAAGGGCCCAGGAGGCCCCCAGGACTGCCCCAGGAGCGCCCAAGATCGCCCCAAGAGGGCCACAAGAACGCCCCAAGAGGTTATATCGATGGCCCCGGAGTGGGGAGGGAAAACGATGACCGCTCCTCCTTTGATCGATGGTCTCCAAGATGGCCCCAGGAGGCGCTCCATAACTCCCAAGAGGGCCTCAAGAGAGCCCTAAGAGAGCCCCAAGAGGGCCCCATGAGGGCCCCAAGGCGCCCCAAAAGAGCCCAAAGAGGACCCCAAGACCCCCAAAAGAGCCCCAAGAGGGCCCTAAGATGCACCAAAAAAGCTCCGAGAGGACCCCAATATCCCCCAAAACAGCCCCGTAGCTCCAAGAAGGCATGTTTCACTATATGTGTCTCTTCGTCCCTTTTCCCGTCAGCTCTCATGGGCAGGGCTTATGAATGGGCTGGTGGGGATTCTTGAAGCGTAAACAGTTCCATAAGTTTGCAATTTCCCCCCCCCCCCCCCCCGCAAATCCCTCCGTACTTGCCTCCCTCGCACCTACCACCCTCCCTCCTCCCAACCTGTTTCCCTGATTTCTCCCCGCCTCCCCCCCTCCCAAGTACAGTAAGTCGCTGCTCTCTTCTCGATCTCTGCTCCCCCCTCGTCCCCACTTCCTTCCCGTCCTCCCTCCCTCCTGCCCCCCATCCCGTCCTCCCTCCCACCATCCCTCCCTCTCCCCCCGACATCCGTCCCTCCCATCCTTCCCTTCTGCTTCAAGGCCTCGCCAGCACGCACACGAGGCAAGGCCGACCCGTAGTCGGGTCCCATCCCTTGGCACGGGAACGGCAGCCAGGTCTCAACCCCTGTTCCGTCGTTCTCGTCCCCCTATCCACCTGGCCCCTCCTCCTCCTCCTCCTCCTCCTCCCACCCCCCTCCTGCTCCCCCCGCTCCCCCCTCCTCCTCCTCCTCCTCCTCCTCCTCCTCCTCCTCCTCCTCCTCCTCCTCCTCCTCCTCCTCCTCCTCCTCCTCCCTGTAAGCTTGCGACAGGCCTTCAAAATCGAGGAAGCGGCGCCCAGGAGGACGGAGAGGCGCCTCCAGACCCGTCCCGCGGCGCGGGGCTGGCGGGCCTGCAGCAGCAGCCCCCGCTCGGCGACGTCAGCCCCGAGGTAGCAGAGTGTCGGGTGCGTCTGCATCGCCAGCTCCTGCTCGTCGTTCTTCCTCCTCCTCCTCCTCCTCCTCCTCCTCCTCCTCGAGAACGGGGGATTGTGGGGGTCCTCGCCTTTCGAGGGGTGTTTTCGTATGGTTTTCTTCCTTTCCTCATCCTCCTCTTTCTTTTCGTTTTCTTCCTCCTCCTCATCCTCCCCTTATTCCTCTTCATGCTCGTTCTCCCTATCCTGCTCCTCAACTCCCTCCCCTCCTTCTACTCCTCCTCCTCCCTCTCCCTCCTTCCATGTTTTTTTGTTGCGTGTCCCCCCCCCAAAAAAAAACGAAGGCCAACCCGTTGTGTTTCTTCTTTCTTTCTTTCTTTTTTTGGGGGGGGGGGCACGAAAAATCCCTCCTTCCTCCTCCCCCTCCTCCTCCTCCTCCTCCTCCTCCTGCTCCTCCTCCTCCTCCTCCTCGTCCTCCTACTCCTCCTCCTCCTCCTCCTCTCCCTCCTCCTCCTCCTCCACCTCCTCCTCCTCCTCCTCCTCCTCCTCCTCTCCTCCTCCCCTCCTCCTCTCCTCCTCCTCCCTCTCCCCCTCCTGCTACCTCTCTGCCTTTTTTTTCTCCAGCCCCCCCCCCCCCCCACCCAGAAAAAAAAAACATAAAAACCAGTTGCTTTTTTTTTTTTCTGGGGGGGGGGCGCCAGGAGAAAAAAAAAGGAATGCGACGTGACCACATCTGCCCTCCCCCCTAGAAGGACTCCTATTGGACGCCCCCATAAGAAGGATTCACAGTAAAATCCTCGACAGAAGGGTTCCTATCGAAACCCTCCACTGAATGATTCCTACCGAAATCCACCACATGTGGATTCCTACTGAAACCCTCCACTGAATAATTTCGACTGAAACCCTCGAATGGCAATGGCAATGGCAATGGCAATGGTATTGGTAATGATAATGGTACTGGTAATGGTACTGGTAATGGTTACGATACTGATAGTGGTAACGGGGTAGCGAGGCAATGACAATGGCAATGGCAATGGCAACGGTAATGGTAATGGCAATGGCAATGGGAATGGCAATAACAATGGCAATGGCAATGGTAATGGCCATGGCAATGGTAATGGTAAGGGTCGAGGTAAAGGTCGAGTTAAAGGTAATGGTAATGGTAATGGTAATGGTAATGGTACTGGCAATGGCAGTGGTAATGGTAATGGTAATGGTAATGGGAATGGAAGTGGGAATGGGAACGGGAACGGGAATGGAAATGGTAGTGGTAGTGGTAATGGTAATGGCACTGGTAATGGTAATGGTAATGGTTCTGGAAATTGTAATAGTATTGGGAATGGGAATGCGAATGGGAATTCTAATGGTAATGGCAGCGGTAGTATCATGGTAATGGGAATGGGAGTGGAAATGGTACTGGCAATGGTAATGGTAGTGACGAATGGCAATGGCAATGGTGATGGTAATGGTAGTGACAGAGGTACTGGTACTGGTACTGGTAATGGTAAGGATAATGGTAAGGGGGTAGCGATTGGCAATGGCAACGGTAATGGCAACGGTAATGGTAATGACAATGGCAATGAGATTGGCAATGGCAATGACAATGATAATGGCCATGGCAATGGCAATGGTAAATGTAATGATAATGGCAATGGTAATGGGAACGGGAATGGGAACGTGAATGGGAATATGAACGGGAACGGGAATGGAAATGGTAGTGGTAGTGGTAACGGAAATGGGAATGATAAGGGTAAGGGTAAAGGTAAAGGTAGAGGTAAAGGTAATGGTAATGGAAATGATAGTGATAGTGATAATGGTAATGGTAATGGTCATGAGAATGGGAATGGCAATGGAAATGGTACTGGCAATGGTAATGGTAGTGGCTAATGGCAATGGCAATGGCAATGCGAATGGTAATGACAGAAGTAATGGTAATGGTACTGGTAATGGTAACGGTAATGATAGTGGTAACGGGGTGGCGACTGGCAATGGCAATGACAATGGCAACGGCAACGGTAATGGCAATGGCAATGGCAATGGGAATGGCAATGGCAATGGTAATGGCCATGGCAATGGCAATGGCAATGGTAATGGTAATGGCAATGGTAATGTGAATGGGAATGGGAACGGGAATGGGAATGTGAATGGGAATGGGAACGGGCATGGAAATGGCAGTGGTAGTGGTAACGGAAATGGGAATGGTAAGGGTAAGGGTAAATGTAAAGGTAGAGGTAAAGGTAATGGTAATGACAATGGCAGTTGTAATGGTAATGGTAATGGTAATGGTATTGGGAATGGGAATGTTAATCGGAATGGTAATGGTACTGGCAACGGTAATGGTAGTGGCGAAGGGCAATGGCAATGGCAATGGTAATGGTAATGGTAGTGGCGAATGGCAATGGTAATGGTAGTGGCGAATGGCAATGGCAATGGCAATGGTAATGGTAATGGCTATGACAGTGGTAATGATAATGGTATTGGGAATGGTAATGGTGACGATAACGGTAATGGTAATGGTTATGGCAATGGTAACGGGGTAGCGATTGGCAATGGTAATGGGAATGGCAACGGCAACGGCAATGGCAATAGCAATGGCCATGGCAATGGTAATGGTCATGGTCATGGTCATGGTCATGGTCATGGTCATGGTAATGGTAATGGCAATGGTAATGGTAATGGTAATGGTAATGGTAATGGTAATGGGAATGGGAATGGGAATCGTAGTAGTAATTGGAACGGGAACGGGAATGGAAATGGTAGTGGTAGTGGGAAAGATAATGACAATGGTAATGTAAATGGTACTGGTAACGGTAATGGCAATGGCAATGATGATGGGAATGGGAATTGTAATGGTGATGGCAGCGGTAATGGCAATGGTAATGGCAATTGTGTTGGTAATGGTAATGGGAATGGCAATGGTAATGGTGGTGGCGAATGGTAATGGGAATGGAAACCATATGAAAACGACGAGGACCCCCACAATCCCCCGGCCTGAGAACGGGGGATTGTGGGGGTCATCCTCTAGCCTCCTCCTCCCCGCCATGCTCCTCCTCCTCCGCCTCCGCCTCCGCCAGCGCATTCGTCGATCTGTGCAGTCCTGCTCCTGCACTGCGGCCGCGGCCGGTCGGCCGCCCAAAGGGGCCCAAGCGGGCCCAGGGCTGACTGGGCAGGCCTGGCCCCGACCAAAAAGCCAAGCAACCTCGATTAACGGTTGGCGGCCTTTCTGACCACTTTCTGGCATGTGGATGGCCTGCTTGATTATTCCACGGCCTCACGGTGCAAGCACCATGGCATCCGAGCGAGGAAGGGAAACCAGTCCTCCGGATCTCAGCTTTTGGCGTGAAAGCCTCGTGGATCGAATTCCTTCCTGGAAATGAGCATGATATATCGACTGATGCCGCGGACCCACAAGGAATGGATCCATGGAGCATTGAACTTGCAAGCCAACGCTATGATTCTACGGGGGAGAAGTGGTTTGGGCGCAACAGCATGCAGTATGCATGTGGCTGGTGCATAAGAGCATGCATGTGTCTTTCGGCTGTTGATTCGGTGTGGCAGGATCGAAGCACGTTCCGCTGTTAGGCTGAACCCTTGATGTCTGACAGAGCCCTTGACGGCGAATGAAGGAGCACTGGTCCTCATCTGAAGCCACAAAGGTGTCCTCGTCTCGGCGCGCGAGCAGCGCGTATTATGCCGCACGTATGAGATTGATAAATCACACGACCTCACCTCATTTCACTCGTCCCTCCTCCACATCATCGTTCCAAAGCGGAGAGCATACCCAGCGACCAAGACTGGCTGCTGCTGCTGCTGGAGGACCTCGGGCAAAATCTAATCCTGCTGCTGCACGCTCAACCGTCTTCTCCTTCTCGTTCAACCTCGCCTCCATCTGGGGCCACGGACACGGACGCTGGCGAATGAGGGAAGGTTAGGTGTGTGGGGGGGCAAAGGGAGGCCGGCCTCTTCTCGCTCCTCTCTCCTGAGTTTCCTCCTCCTCCCTCCCTCCTCCCTCCTCCTCATCCTCCTCTCCCCACCCCGTCTGCACTCTCCCTCCACACGCGCGCGCACGCCAGCGCAGGAAAGGGTCCAGCGTGAGCGTGGGCGAGCCGCAGGAGACGAAGTGGTAGGCGTCGCGGTTGAGTCTCCGGGGGCGCCCAGCAGGAAGGCGGCGGCGCGGGTGGGGATGCGGGAAGGCGGGCGGGCACCTTTGTTAGCCCGACCCTGTGCCCAGGACCAATGGACATTTCCTCCTGGCCTGTCCAGAGGATCGTGCTCTGAGGAGCGTCGTGAGTAGGTGGATAAGCTGCGAACGTCTCCGCCTGCGCTGTGGAAGAGGAGGGGGGGGCAAGGGAAGGCAGGAGGAGGAGGTCGCCCTTGCCTACAAGACTCTTGCAGTTGATTTCAATATCTCCCACGCTGCGGATTCCCTGAGGCGGTGAGCCCCCCTGTGTCCCTCCCGTGAACATCATGTGAGCTTCCCATGCGTGCCCACTCGCGTGCGGCGCACACCGCGTGAGTAGCGCTGCAGGGAAGCTCACTCCAAGTGCCCACTCGCTCCCGGGGCACATCGTGTGGCCAGCGTTGTTGCCAGGGACCTCACTCCAAGCGTGCCCGCTCTTTTGCGGCGCCCATCGCGCCCGAAAGAGCAAAACGACATTCTTCACCCCAGTGCCGCGCAGGTTGTCCATGACAACTGTTTTCCTGCTTTGGTGCAGCGCGCGTCTTTCACTCAACAAGCCGTCGGAAACGGCACCGCGCACGAGAGAGCGAAGCGTCGCTTGCACCTGAGCAAGCCAGAATGCCGCCCGCAACTGTGTGTTCCCGCTGGGACGCGGCGGGTGCATTTTAAGCTCGCCAGTCCTATCCCGTGAGGGGCCGGGCCACCAACCGGCATGGACTAACTGCTCGGCAATCCTATCCCATCGGGAGCCCGGCCGCGAAGCAGCTCGCCAATCCTAGCCCATCGGCCGCGTGCCCAGATCTCCGTAGTTTTGCGCCGGCGTTGCGCCTGCAGCCCGGCGGGATGCCATTCGTCTGCTCGTCAAGGCTCTGGTCACATGCAGCTTCAATCCCAAAATGCTGCTCTGTCATTTGTCTCACGGCCGCGGGGAGCGGTGGCGCGAATCCATCCCAAGTGAAGAAAGAAGTAACAGTTTGGGCTGCAGCAACGTGCCCAAACGATGGACAAAAAAAGGCTCCAAGTGAACTCCCGCGAGCAGTGAAAGACAAGCTGCTTTGCGATTGCGACGCCAGCACCGTGCACGATTAGCAAATTCAAGGCACGGCAGCTGTCGTGCCTTACGCGTGAGGGCGAAGGTGTCCCACGTCACATTCGCTTCGCGTGCGAACTCGCACGACAAGCAAGCCATGCTTCTCTTGGTTCTCATGGGAAGGGAGGGAAGGGAAGCGCGCGGGACCGCCGGCTCGCGCGAACCCCACCAGCCCTCTGGGCGTAGGTGGTCTAGAGCGGTTGCTCTTCCAACCCCTTCTTCCCCTGCAGAGAGGGATTTGTCACTGTTCCCTACTATGATACACCCCCTCCCCGAGGCGACCGGCTGCCGACCAGGAACCATGAGGACTCCATGCTCCCCCCCCCCCATCCCAGTCAAAAAACAATACAAAACACACTATGCCTCCACATGTGGAGCATGCACGGCCAACCCGATGCGGCCCCCCTCCACCATCCCTGCCAAAAAATAATACAAAGTACACTTTGGGGCAAAGTCTTGAGTCATGGTCGTGAGGCCCGCGAGCACTTTGAATCGTTTTTGACAGGGACGGCGGGGGGGTCAGCATATTGCCTGCTGCGCGCAGGGCCACCATCCCTAACAAAAAGCCACATCATAAAGTGCACCTCGCGGCTAAATCTAGATCATGCGCGGCCACCCTGCGATCACTGTCAAAGGTTTTTTGACAGAAACGGCTGGGGTGGTGGAGTATGGCCTGCTGTGCGCAGGCGACAGAATGATGGGCATTGGTTGTCGACAAGGATGGTGGGGGCCGACATCTTTCCCGATGTGTGCTGTCACGTGCGCAGGCTCACCTGACACACTCTACGCGCGCGCCCCGAACGTGGCGCACCTGGCGCGGCTGGAGTATGCGGCACACCTGGCGCACGCGGAGCACGTGGCGCATCTGGCGCACCAGGCGTGCCTGGCACGCTCGGGCCCCAGGGGTGCCTGGCGCGCGTGGCGCGCCTGGCACGCGTGGCGCACCTCGCCCCAGCGTCGCGCACATGGGGTCGGTTTTGGTTCACAGTAGCTGTCCATCCAAAGACGACCGCCGAACATGCTCAGGCGCGGGTGTAATTTGTGCGTTGGGAGGCGGGTGGGAGTGAGCTAGACGGCTTGCTCTCTAGGGGGGGCCTTGACCCCTTCCCCTACCCCCTCCACTGGACCTGGGGGGGGGGGGTCGCGAGCCGCCAGAGCAGCTAAGATGGCCCAAGATGGCTCCATGAGGGCCTTAGAGAGCCCAACAAGATGACCTCCAAGATGGCTCAAGATAGCCTAATGGCTCCAGATGGCTCCCAAGATGCTCCTAGAGGCCCCAAGCTCGCTCCAAGACTGCTCCGAGTGGTCACGCCTCAAGACAGCTCCAACAGGGCCCAAGAGGGCCCTAAGAGAGGCTCAAGAGAGCCCCAAGACGGCCCCAAGAGCGCCCAAGAACGCCTCAACAGCGCTCCAAGAGGGGCCCAAGAGGCGATGATTCCGAGGGGGGAGGGTAATGAAGGACACCCCCCTTCTTTGCTCGAGCTCTTCCAAGATTGCCCCAAGAGCGGTCCCAAGGCTTCCAAGAGCACATCGAGAGGGCCCCAAGAGGCTCCCCGAGGCACCGCTTCAAGAGGGACCCTTCCTCTGTGTGCTGCCCACTTCCCTGATCGAGGCAACTCCTCTGTGCATCGTCTCTGGATGGGCTGGTGGGCTGCGCGAAGCGTCAAGACTTGCCAATCTTGACTCCTCCTGACTGCACACCAATCCTGATTCCCTCGTAGCGTATCTACTCCGACTCTGCCGTCCGGCCGGCCGATAGCGGGCCAATCCGGGGAGGGGCCACCCGACCCGTCGAATCAAGCAACACCAAATCGACGTCATTCGAAGCAGAAAAAACCGCGTGAACATAAACTGTTGGCGCTCCGCGCGGACTTCTTGGATCCGCGCCTGGGCCCCACCTGGCGGCGCCTCCGGCGCCGCCCCCGGCGCGCTCCGCGCGTCGCCCACGTCGCAAAACATGCGCGGCGGCCGTGGGACGGGGCGCTCCTCCCGCGCGAAAGGGCGACACGTCGCTCTCGCCTCGGCGCCTCGCTGGATGGCCACCTGGGCGCGGCGCACGCGTCTCGCACGCCGCGCCGCCGGCGCGCGCGAGGACGAACGTGGCGCTGACGTCGTCGCCCCGCGCCGCGCAGATGGCGCCCGGAGAGCGGCGCTCCCACCGCGGCACGGCGCAGTTAGTGTCGCGCACCGCCGGGGGGTCGGGAGACCCCGCGCGAGCAGGCGACGTGTCGCCCTCGCCCGGGCTCCGCGCACAGGGACGCCCGGTGAGGCGGCACTCCCGCGCGGGCGCGGCGCGGAGTCCCTCCGCCGAGCCGCGCGCGAGTGGCAGCGGCAGAGCAGGGCCGCGCGGGAGCGGGCGAGGTGCTGCCCTCGCCCAGGCGCGGCGCAGCGTGTGGGCAGCGTTGTCTCATTCGGCGTTTCGACATCGGGCGGAAGGGGGGGGGGGCGGGGGGGTCTGGCTCCGGACCTCTGCTCCACGCGGCTGTTTGCAACAGGGCGTCCGTCACGGGGGAGGCTCCACCTGCTCGAAAAGGCGCAAAAAGCTGCCAAGATCCACTCCAGTGGGGGGGGGAGGGGGGGGTGCTGCGAGGGCCCGGGCCGATCGGCAAAACAAAGAATAAAGAAACGATCACGTGCGGGAAAGTGGCAGTGCTGTTTCGGCGCGGCGTATGCCTCGTCTTCGCCGCGCTCATCGGAAGTTGCCGCTCCCGTCCCTTCGCGGCCCGCACAGTTCTCCCTTCGCCAAGCCGTCGGAGCGCGACCACGCGCGAGCGCCTTCCATTCCCTAGGTGTTCCAGTCCCACGCGGGGAGGGCGGGAGTGGGCGGGGCCTGTTGACTCGTTCGACCTGGCTAATGTGACACCCTCGTCAGACTTACAATCCTACTTCCCTCCTGCCTCCTCTTGTCTTCTCCTGCCTCTTCCTCCTCCTCCTCCTCCTCCTCCTCCTTCTCCGCATGACCTCAAGCCATACGGGCTCGAGCAGCTCTTCCCCACGCCCCCGTTCGAAGGGTAAGTATCTCGCTCAGTCCAGCCCCTACGTCCCAGTAGTGCTTGACGGGGTCACGTGTGAGCTTCCACCACATTGCATCACGTTCAGATTGAGGGGTCCCTGGTGGCAAGAGGGGGGGGAAATAGTTGAGTAATGTTGAGTGAAAGTTCGAGGCATGGAGAAGAAACATGGAGACAGAGGTGGTAAAGCAGGATCTGGAGACACGTCGGAACCTCATGACAGTGTGCACTCGAAGTTCTACACATGCGGTATATTAACATGGAACAGGATACTCCAGCATCGCAGTTGCAAATACCAGAAGTGCAGCCCCATGGGTGGCCCTGCATGCTGGCAAAAAAGAACCAGAGAAACAGTCCAACGGGAGTGGTCAGAGTTGCGTCGCGAACAACCAGCTCGCCCTATCGTCACCTTGAGGTTCTTCAGCATCGACAGGTACCCTGGTCGGAGTTTTGGAACAAGCACTTGGAGTTGCCACCGACGAAGCACTTAAGATGATCGTGCAGCCCCAGATCGACAAATCAGAGCAGAAAGCCCAGAATGAGCAGGCCAGCATCCTTTCGCCAGAAGGGGCGATCAAAAGGGCGACTCGCGCAGTTCGAGATGCGCAGCTGAAACATGATCAGGCGGAGGCCACATTCGTCAAGGCAAAAAATGATCTTGCACGCGCGGTTGAGAGAAGAAGAGGCGGTCCTCACCCTGGCCAGCGCGGAGCTCGCCAAGCGTCAAACTACCCATGCCCTTGCAGTCAGTGAAAGAGTTATTTCCACCCGCAGTGACAGATGAAAGTGATCGAACTATATCCTTGAAGTTGGATGAGTGATTCTTTTCCAGACTGGATAATCTGGAAGATCTTGAACAGT